GAAACGTGAGTCTTAAAGTGACGTGGATTCCAGAGTTTGCGCATTAGCTCACCAAAACGCTGCATAAGTAGGCGCATCGGATCTCCCCCCGGTCGAAGCTCAAGAAGACCGGAATAGTTAGCTTCGCATAAAAAGAAGTCGCGCAAGGGACTGATATGACTAAGAAGTTGGAGGACGACATTACAATAATCGTTTGCCTAAAACAGGAATAGCAATGCTAATACAGTAGAAAAGAAAACGAATAAAGTAATTTGAAATGGCAATAATTACCTTAATGTTATTTAATCCGACTAAACCTGGATAGTAGGTAAGTCCGTTGATAGCACGAACCATTTTGCAACATGAATCCAATTCGCATATCTGTTTCTTTGAGAAGGTTGGATTTAGAAGGTATGTGATATCCTCCAAAGATCCATCCATGATTTCGTAGTTGTCAGGAAGACAGTAGAATCGACGCGTCTCTAGATTGAGAAAGACGTGATGACCTTCGTTTACACTATGAGTATGCGCATGAGTGTTTGTTCCTCGCCCCTGGTGTAAGGCAAGAGAAAAAATTATATCCAAATAAGAGCATGGACCAAAAATCCTAGATAGGAAAAGAGAAAACCAAAGCTTTTAAAGCATCGTCTAGTTTTATTAGCTTGGCCAGAGAAAGAAATTGTAGGACAAAGCCATTTTGAAGCGATTAAATAATAATTTAAGGGAAGTTTATAAAAATATCAATACTGATAATTTAACTCCAAAAATTAAGCAAAACAAAGTAGTTTGTACTTCTTAACCATTTGTTAGCCTGATACAAAAGGTTTAATAAATAGTATATTTAAACCCATCCATTACAGAAACCAGGGTTTGGGGGGTAAAAATTAAGCAGACTGGGATCAGAAATTACAATGATTACACAAAATAGACTAATCAGCAGGTTCAAGCGACTTATCGGAAACAATCAATAAACCGAGACGTCGCACTGTTACTTATTTAGGGGAAATAATCGGAGTTGATGTATTAAATGCAAGACAAGAGTCTGCGACTGCATAACAAAACTTAGCTTACAATGTTTTTGCCGGTATAAAAATGAATAGTGAACGGCATCAACAAAATATAGTACGATAGAAAGCTTCATAAATATTAAGCGGAGCGTGTAGGACTGTTGAATGTAACAGACAAACAGGAAAGAACTTAAATAATTGGAAGAACATGAACAAATAGCTAAGCCACCAACACAGTTGATGGGTTGTTTTGACTTATTCTCCAAACAAAAGTGTAAGTTTAAATTAATGTTATTTGGCTAAATACCATAACCA